ACTGCTCGTCACTGATAACCTGCAAAAATTAAGCAGATTTAGGAACCCAGAGCTTTTTGGGTCCTCGTGAGTTGTTTACGGGAATTGCAAGAGAGATGTCAACAACATATGTTCTTTTTATTAGTGTTGTTTCATCTTTTCTTTTGATGGTGAAAACTTTGATTTTATTTGGATTTAATGGTTTTGGTATTGATTTTGATTCAGTATCTGAAACCTTCTGTTTTCCTTTTTGTTCAGCTGATGACTGAGATTTTTGAGAAGAAACAGAGTGGACTTTAGGACGAGAAGAGACAGAGGATTTTGAGGAGTTAGAAGAGTTAGAATGAGATGACTCAGAACGGTATGACTTCTTGATTGAAGATTCTAGGTGACTCTTTTGCTTTTGATTAACGGTAGGACCAACTTTAGAGTTTTGACCTCTTTTAATTCCCGAACCGAACCTGTGCTTTTGGTTGAAATCATTCTCTGAACCGAATCTATACGTTCGGTTGTTGTTGTGCTCCGAGCCGAACCTCTGCTTTTGGTTGTCATTATGCTCTGAACCGAACTTCTGCTTTCGGTTATTGTTCTGCTCAGAACCGAACCTCTGCTTTCGGATGTTGTTCTGCTCAGAACCGAGACTCTGCGTTCGGTTGTCATTTCTCTCCATCGATCCAACAGGATTTTTCGCTGGTTTTAAATTCCTGTCTTGATGTGAGAAATAGGCATTTTGCGATTGCCAAAACTGTTTTCTTTCTGAGAGATTTTTCCTGTATCTCTGATTCCTTTCCCGTTTTTGACTTCTCATCTGCTTTGGTTGATGATGGACGTTAGCTTTATGTTTTTGATTTTCATTGGTTGATCCACTCTGAACCGATGTTGTTTTGCTTGGAGATGTGACTTCTTTTGCAGGAATTTCTTTCTCTTGAGGGACATCTTTTGTTCCACTGGTACTTGCCACGTTGAAGCAATCAGGTTTATTTAAAGGTTCTGGAACGTATCTGCCTTTGCTTTTCCATGAAGTCCTTTCAGACAGACCTACCGTTTCATCAGCATTGTCAATGGGAGCCGACCAGAAGAACTCATCACAGCCATCAGCATTGTCTTCGTTCACAATAGCTGTTAGTTCAGCAGTCTGATGTTCGGTTACACCTGTGACTTTGTATACCTGATTCGGAGTGGTCCTAACTTTTTGGTATACAACTGCCTTCTCTACAAGAATCGGGGACTTTTGTTGGGACAACCGAGCGAATTCCACAGAATTTTCTGAGATGAGATTTTTGTGGTTCTCGGGTTCATTTTTGACAAATTCTGAACAATCAACTGTGTCCTCTACAGAAATTTCACTCATATTATCGTCCTCATTAAGCTCAGATGCATTTTCAACATCAATTTTATTTTCCGAGCTTAAGTTGACATTCAGTGAGTCAAATTTTTGTATAGTTTCGGTTCTAAGCTTCAGTTTATCATTTTCATCCAAAAGATTTTTGAGCATATTCTTGTGGTCCTTGGATTTTATGAAAGATTCAATTTTGTCCAGTCCATACAAATATGTTGGATTAACATCCTCAGACGAAATAATACTCTCACAATTATATGCATCAGCATCAATTTCATCTTCCTTAAACTCAAGAAAGGGTAAAATCATGCGATGAATCTTTTGCCCTATTTCACAATTTAAATGAAGCTGAGTAATATTAGTATAAAGACGTTTGGCAATCAGACAAAAAACATTTCGCTGTTTCAAAAGCTTTAAATTGTCTCTTTGCAAATAAATGTTTTCATCTTTTATTTTGATTAACTCTGACTCCTTCAGTTCGATCCACATCCGCCGTTCCTCACTCTTCGAAGACACCCTGCTTAATTGATCAGTTAGGTTAGAGTTGGTGACCCGAGTTTGAGTTAAACTACTATCTAGATGAGAGATTCTTGAATTAACACTTTTTAATTCCTTTTCATATGAGCATTGTGGGACTTTAAATGAGACAAAAACTGATTGTACCTTCTTGATCAGTTCATCAAGTTCGCTGAACTGCTCGCTGAGTGGTTTGGCAGTAAAGCACAGATTCTGCTGTTCTTTGTCATCATTCCCACCATCAGTGTTGTATCCTCTCATCTGAGAAACGTCGGACACCATCAAGCATCTTCCTCCACTGCTCTCTTCTTTCGCTACATAGGCCTTTCCATGTGAAGGCTTCCTCACTTCATCATCTTCAGAGTCGGTTGACCAAACCTCCACGCCACCGAACTCATCATCAGCTACCGAACCCTGCACAATTAAAGCATTCATGGAAGGGTTAGCAGCAGATTTCTTCTTCCTTAACTCATCAAGCTTTTTCATCAACACAGCTTCTTCATCATTTTCTTCATTCTTTTTTTGAGGACGCAATCTTTTGCATAGTGGTTCTTTCCTCCACAATAATAGCAGCTCACTCCTGAATCTCCTTCAGCCTTCTGTTCCTTCTTTGCTTCTTCAGCTTTCGGTTCATCTTTAATCTTTTCAGTGCTATAGCTTCCTTGCCAGTTTCTGTTCCTATTGGTAGGGAATCTCTTCTTGATGAATCTCTTAGGGTTTGACACCATCATAGCATAGTCTTCAGACGTGAGATCATAATCATCCAAGTTGAGATCTTCGTCTTCTATCACAGCTTTGCTTTTCGACAGGAGGGCTAATGAACCTAGACTTGAAACCACGGTCTTCTCCTGCAGTACGATCTTTTCTTGAGATTTTAGGATGCCCACCAGTTTCGCCAAAGAATAGGATTTGAATTGCTCGTGTGCTTTAACTGTGGACACGATTGCTCTCCACTCAGACCTGAGTCCATTTAAAAAAGTAACCTTCTGTTCAATAAGCTTCCTTTCGATGTCATGTTTGATCATCTTGCTAAGAAGATGATTGAAGCGATCGAACGTTTGAGTCACTGTTTCTTCTGTTCCTTGCTTGAACTCACCAAACTCAGACAAGAGTAAAGTTTGAATGGAGTGTTCAAGATCTTCATCTGTAGAGTACAATTCACGTAGCCTGTCCCATATCTCTTTAGCAGTCGTGCATGAACTTACCAGCCTAAAGGTATCGGATTGAAGAGCAAATCTAATCAATCTTAGCGCTTTGATATTGCACTGAAATTTAACTTTTTCATCTTGCGCTACATCTTTAACATCTTTCAGGAGATCATTATACTCCTTTTGAGTTTTAATAATCCTTGAAGTTGCTGAATGAGAAAACGGTCCTGAGATAATTGCTTCCCAGATGAGGTATCCATTATCCTCAGATCCTATGACATAATCTTCAAAGTGATTCGCCCAGACTTCATAATCATGGGTGTACAGGATGGGAATCTTTGTTGTTGATCCAATGCTGTTTGAAATATTGATGGGATTGGATTGTGACTCGTCCATAATTGATCGAATAACCTGTTCAAAGATCAGACTTGTAATATATCAGATTAGGGCAAAAATAATAAATATTGAGATACGTCAATTATGAGATGACGGCTCAATAAATATCAATGAATGCGGAATAACCCTAATCAAAGCTTTTTCACAGAAAAGAAGTGTATGGATTACACAGCCTCCCGCTCTGATACCAATTGAAGAGTTTAAATTAAACTTAAAGATCGATTAGATCTATGAAACAGGTAGATAAATGACTAGATAAACAATTAAGAACAAGCTAATGAATCAAAAGGTGTCGAATGATTCAATAAACAATCCTCAGAAGAGCTCGATAAAGAACGTCAACTGTAGAGGATTTTAGGGTTTACAATATTCAATGAGAGTGACGATTGTTACTATACACATACATGCATGCATATATTTATAATGAAACCCTAACGGTTTTTCTAAGAAAAAGAAGGCTAATCTAGTTGAACACGAATTGACAAGCCCAATCCGGTTGTAAAACAAAAGGGCCCAAGACGCAACACAATTATCTTCAACAAAAACATTACAAAAAATAATAATAATAGTACAAGTTTTGGATTTTTTTCAGCCCCACACCTCAATTTTTTGTGTTTAAGAATTGATACTAGAACGGAAATTCTACATCTATTGTGGAAAAACCCGAATCAAAATGCATATTTAAAAGTAAAAAAAAAAAAAACTTTTCACATACATTTTTCTAGAATTTAAATCATCCCAACCTATATTGTTCCTTTATTTTTTAGGAAAATCTCCGATAAAATCTCAATATTTTGAGTCAGTTTACAGTTTAATCTTGATTTTTATTTTTTAAATAGAAAAATCCCGATTATTTTATATTTTACCAAAATTAACGAAACAATTCTTATTTTTTTTCAACTAGAAAATAACAAATTATCGCGTATAAAATTTGATAATCGGAACTTTTCCGTTAAAAAATAAATATCGAGATTAAACCATAAACTAATCTAAAATATTGAGATTTTATTTGAGATTTCCGTATTTTCTAATATACTTGATTTACTTGAGTTTTGATACCAGGTTAATAGGTTTGTTTGTGTATATGGGTATAGCTAGGGTTGTAAACGAACCAAACGAACACGAACGCGGTCTTGTTCATGTTCATTCGTTTAAGTTACCGAACAACAAACGAACACGAACGGATAAACGAACGAAATTTTCTTGTTTATGTTCGTTCGTTTAACAAATTACTTTGTTCATGTTCGTTCATTTATGTTCATGAACATGCTAAACGAACATAAATGAACAAACATAAACGAACAAAGATAAAAAAAACACAATTGAACATATATGAACATAAACGAACATATAATATAGCAATATAAAAAAATAATAATTGAATATAGATGAATATAAATAAACTTAAACGAACGAACATAAACGAACATCATAAACGAACGTTCACGAATATAAATGAACGAACGAGACCATTGTTCATGTTCGTTTATTTAACTAAACGAACAATAATTTTTGTTCGTGTTCGTTCATTTATTAAATAAACGAACATAAACGAACTTCCCGCCGAACAGTTCACGAACGGTTCGCCGAACGTTCAGTTCGTTTACTAGGTATAGCACCAAATGGAGTCACGGATGATGAGTGCAAAACATTTTGTTAGGTAACAAAACAAAACTTGACTATTAGTTAAGGGACCGCTTATGCAACTTTTTATTTTTTACTTTCACAGGAATTTTGATCAGCGCAACCTTCCGCCTGCAACCGATCTTCTCTTCCGCCAAGCTATGGCGATCCCCGCCGTACCCAAACGTAAATCCCCAAAGAGAAGATCAGAGACTTTTATCCATAAGTTTTACAAGAATCCCAAAATCCCCTTCGCTTTTGCTTTGCTTCTCGCCGATGCCGTCCTTACCGCCCTCATCATCGCCTATGTTCCTTGTAAGTACTTTATCACAAACTTGTTCGATTTTGCCAATTACATACGAATCTGTATCCGTAACACTTCGATTGCAATCAATTTTAGATACAAAGATTGATTGGGATGCTTACATGTCGCAGGTTAGACTCAATTTAGCGTTTCTTGTCTTTTCGGGGTTTTAGTACCCCCATTGTGTTAAAACTTAAACGTAGGGCTGCATTTTTTTTATTTAGATAACATTCTTACTTCAAGTTCATATATATTTGTTTTCCTAGAAAAGAACTAACTGCATTTACACTTTGAGGTTTGGATGTGACTTTTGAAAGTGATACTAGGATTAGAGTGGTACAAAAAGATTTCAATTATCTATATTCGGTTTTGGCGCACATCCAAACACCCCCTTTATGCCAAGTGGTACAAAAAGATTAATGTTCGAACAAAGTCCATATATATAAATTTTGCATTTTGGAATTAACTACTTTGACATGAAAACTCAAGCTGCAAACATTCTTTAATGGTGAATGGAGGGAGTATAAGTATGTGATTTCAGTTTTACTCAGAAATGGCATACAGGTTGATGGATTTATTGAAGGAGAGAGAGATTACAGCAATCTGAAAGGGGACACAGGACCTTTGGTTTATCCTGCTGGCTTTCTTTATGTTTACTCTGCCATACAATATGTTACAGGAGGCCAGGTCTATCCTGCCCAGGTGAATTTTTACTTGCATTGGACAATTACAGAAATTCGTTGCTGGCTGATAATCTTTCTTGTTATTTCAGATCCTGTTTGGCTTTCTCTACATTGTGAACCTTGGAATAATGTTATTCATTTATGTGAAGACTGATGTGGTATGAACAATTTTTGTATGTTGTTGATTCTTTACTGTTGTTTAAATGACTTTACCTTGTTGATAGGTACCTTGGTGGGCTCTGACTTTGCTTTCTTTATCCAAAAGATTGCATTCAATCTTCGTGCTTCGTCTGTTCAACGACTGTTTTGCAATGACTCTTCTGCATCTTTCCTTGGTTCCACTCCTTTATCAGAAATGGCATCTGGGTTTGATTGTCTTCAGGTTAATATTTACTGTTTATTTTGTTAGAGTTAAGAGAACTCAGCATTGATTTTGATTATGCAGTGCAGCTGTTTCAGTGAAGATGAACGTGCTTCTTTTTGCTCCATCATTGTTCCTTCTCATGCTCAAGGTACACTAAGCAACTGAACTTTGTTTCTGGATGTTGCATGGCATGCATTTACTCAAGCAGGCTTCTGTTTGTCAACTTTAATACAGGGCATGGGCATTATGGGGGTGATATCGGCTTTAACAGGAGCTGCATTAGTGCAGGTGCTTGCTTATTCTTTCCTAAACTGTATTAATAATAAAGTCTATTTGAAATAATAGTTTACCAGTTACCAATCTGTGTTTTTGTATTGGCAGATTCTATTGGGGTTACCATTTCTGTGGTCTTATCCAATTGCATATCTATCAAACGCCTTCAATCTTGGACGCGTCTTTATCCACTTCTGGTAACCTTCTAAGCCCATATACTCGTTTATATATAAAAGTGACAAAATTTTGGTAGTTGATATGTTTTATAATATAATATATATATATGTTCAGGTCTGTCAACTTCAAATTTGTCCCGGAACCAATATTTGTGTCGAAGAAGTTTGCTCTCATCTTACTATTTGCTCATCTCGCTCTTCTTGCCCTTTTTGCACATTATAGGTGGTGCAAGTAAGTATGCAAATGCAATGCTTTCTTATTCCAATTTTTTTCACTTTTTTGGTGTGTTAACTTTTTACAGGCATGAAGGAGGATTAGTCTCTTTCTTGCGTTCTAGATTCCTTCAAAAGCAGCTCAAAACCTTTCCTCCTAATAAAACTCACAATTCTATCTCTGGATTACAGCTTCTTAAAAGAGAGCGTAAGTGCACTTTCTTTCAACTGTGTTTGTCAAAGTTTGACTTATGGTTGATTGATATTGTTATTTGTTACACAGATATTGTTACAACCATGTTTACTGGCAATTTTATTGGCATCGTTTGTGCTCGCTCTTTGCACTATCAATTCTACTCCTGGTATGCAAATACATGTTTTTTGTTCCATATCAACAACATCAAAATGATTGATATGAATTCTATTATCATCTTTGATGAAGAATGTTTTGCAATGCAGGTATGTCTGCAGCCTACCATATCTTTTGTGGAGAACATCCTTTCCAAATATAGTGCGGTAAGTCAGCCAATCAAAAGTCGCCAGCTGTATGTATTCATTCATTTGGAGTTGCTGTTTTTTTGCATGCAGGGTGCTGTTGTTTGCAGGGGTGGAGGTGTGCTGGAATGTTTTCCCCTCCAATGTCTACTCCTCCATGGCGCTTCTTTCTTTACATGTACTAATCTTGTGGGGTCTATGGAGGGCTCCATCTGAGTATCCATATCAAAATCACAGATTGCAGAAGATCAAGTGAAACTTGTTTTCATTTTTTTTTTTTTAGGTTTCAAAATGTTTTTCTTTTGTTTGTTTCTATTATCATCCACAATCTCATCGTTGTTCCTTAGAATGACACAAACAAACCTATGCATTTTCTGTTTGGCTTCTTCCTATTAATGGAGTTTTTTTTTTTTTTTTTGTAAGACAAATGTTTCACTGCAATCGTTAATTCATTATCATGTGTATGGTTGTTGATTTTTGATAATTTATTCACTTGTCTAGACTTTTAAATGGGGATTTTTGTTTTTGTACCTGTAACTTCATAATGGTTTGATTTTGTATGCCTTCTTATTGGTTCATGATTTAGTGTAGTTGGGAATTTGAATTAATTCATTAATTCTTGATTGTGGTGGGAGAAGAGATATGGTGAAATTAACTTTGATTTATGAGTACATTCGCATAAGTGTTTATTTAGTCACTGAAATCTTTTTTCCCTCAATCTCCAATGTTCCTTAAGTTGTCTACTTTGTGTCTTTATGACCGGTGAAACATGCAAACGTAAATATATCCCTGTCTGTTGACACAAGTATTCAAGATGAGTTTTTTTTTTTTTTTTTTTTTTTTTTTTTTTTTTTAATACACCACCTTAGTGTAAGGTTACGGGTGTTGTTCGGCAAAATTAGACGGTAGTTAGAAGTTTTAACTTTTATTTGTGTAACCAAAGTAGTTGTAAGTTTTTGAAAAAAATAAAATAACATATAATACACAAGTTAAAAACTAAAAGCTATTTGAATAAGTTTTTGAATTAAGATATTTTTTTGAATAAAAACTTTAAGCTTGTTCTCCCAAACGAAGTTTTTTCTTTAGTTCGAGTTTTCTTTAAAAGTTAAAGAGAAATCTCCGGTAAAATCTGAAAACTTTGATCTTTATATGAAAAATTATTGCTTTATTTTATTTTATTTTGAACAAAAAAATGGTAACTGTTATTCAAAGGACAAAAAACCAACAATCATTGACATATTTAGGATATAATATATAAAATTACAATAAGATAATATCATCTGTCAAACAAAGAGAATATAATAATATTGTTTTTAGAAGCCTAACTTATACACTCATTATTATATTCCTAAATCTATTATATTTCTCTTAAGCGGGATTAGAACCCTCGATGTTTTGTTGAGGGCACGTTTTCATCAACTCCTAACATCGTTGTGTTAGAGGTTTTTTAGTTATAACATTAAAATAAGATAATATCCAATATCAGATAAAAAGAATATAGTAAGAAAATATCATTTATCCACTGGAGACAACAAGACTACACTTTGGTAAAAAGAATATGCCATACCCACTTATCAAAGTTAAACTTCGTTGGGAATTTGTTTGACTTAATCCTCCTGGCCAAAATGTTAACCTCAAGACTACTAAGTTGTTTGGTAGGTGGTTGGCTCACTTGGATAAAATCCACCTTGACAAGTATTGCTATGTAATTTATGAACATTTTTTGTGCGCCCAAAAAAACCATCGATTATCCTGAAGTCTTAACTCTTTAAGAAATAGTTTCTTTGTCAGGAGAAAGAAAACTTACGTAGTTGGATAAAATGGAAAAAGGTTATGGCTAGCAAAAAGGATGGTAGTTTAGGAACGAGGAGTCTTCATGTGTTTAATAGAGAAGTTTACAAAAATCTTTATGGTGAGGATGATAATCGTATACAAACATTCCCAAAGAGCACACATGTGTGCCATGGGTGGATATCATCGACTAAATATCCTCTTACATTTTATTTCTAGTATTATCTTACCCACATAAAATGGTGCCAAGTGGATTAAAATATTATCAATTTCATTAAATGTGTAATCAAATATGACATATGTCAACATTTGATATGGTAGGAGGATAAATAAGAATAAAATAAAAGATGATATTTAATTTCTCTTTGAAAAATGGGTGAGGAAATAATGTTGAGATTCCTTTCAAAACTCATTTTCATAGAGTTAGAACAATGGACCGATTTGCGTGATTTATTGCAATGTGTGGTTTTAAGTGATTAAAGCGATAAGATTTAGAAGCAAACGTAAAATACACGATGAAACAACTTAAAGACCTACCAAGAGAAATTTTACTTTCCAATTGGAAAGTCTATCCGTTAATTTATGGGTCACAATGTTCCACCTCCTTAAAATTCACACCAACACCTATCAACTTAGTTTTGTGTAAGATAACTTTTAAAGCCGGGGAAACGAAAATTAAACAACGAAGAATCTGCACAAAGAAAAAAGGGAAATCTATACGCCCTATAGGACCAAAGCAAACCCCATGATAAATTTCATACTCAGTTGTCTCTTTAATCATAAAGCATCCGTGGATCCAACTACATATTTCAGCTACACTCATTTTCTTCAAATATGTTTGAATCATAAGTTGAAATCGTTTCTTGTTAAGCTACATCCAATGAAATAATTTGTTAAAAAATATTTTATTAAAAAAATGTCTTTTATTAAGAACCAACAATTTTCCTAGGGTCCCCGGAAGAAAAAGAAAAAAAAAAAAAAAAACTGAGGTTTAAATCAATTTATGTTTCATATCATAAAATCAATTTTAGCAAAACAATCCATATTGTCTGTCATCAATTTTGGACTTAATTTGGAGATTTAAGTAGCCGCAGCAAGACATACTCTTGCATTGTGATTTTAGAGCAAATTAAATAGTCCCATGAGGGATGGGGCTTTAAGGTGAGATTCTAATAGAATTACCAGGAAACCATAAGACTCTCTATTGATCAGGATCATAATAATTGAAGTCGATATATCTGAATTCTTCAACAAAAAGGTTTTTAGTAGTAGATTGAAACGAAAAATTGAAGTTGTAGACTTCATATTAGTTGACAGCCTAACCACCAAGTCACTAATTAACTATCATACAGCTAGCTTTCTTGAAAGTGAATGAAGCATATATTATATTATATTTCGGGGTTACTTATAGAAGTAGCGACACAGGCTATGTTAATACAGATGTTTCAATAATGACGAACTGATAGCTACAAATGTTGTAAAGATAGATTCAAATGCCTTTGAGAAACAAAAACTTGGTGTGGGAAGCAATCAAACACCAACTCATGCATTCAAAAAAGATAGAGTGAATCCAAAATCCAATAGCTAAATATGTTGTAAAGATAGATTCAAATGCAAAACAAAAACTTAGTGTGGGAAGTAATCAAACAACAAATCATGGCATTCAAAAAAGATAGTAGACTCCAAAATCCAATAGCTAAATATGTTGTAAAGGTAGATTCAAAAATCAAAATCAAACAACAAATTATGTATTCAAAAAAGATAGAGTAGCATCCAAAATCCAAAATTCGAAACCATTACGATACAACTCATCTTATAACCTTGTAAGCAGAGCAATAGCACCGAAGCAGCTTCTGATTGTCATAAAAGCAAGGAAAATGACGAGTCAGTCTCCCTTTCTTCTAAAAGAGCATCCCTCAGTGAGTCTTGCACGGCCACCAGTCGGCTGGCATAACACCGTCTGACAGTTCCCACATACCACCACCGTTTGAGAGTGGCTAAATACAGTTGTTCTGTTTGTTTAAACACACCAACATCATCATCATCATTTCATATCAAAACGTCATAACATCATAATCTAAAACTTAATAAATTGACATCAAAACTCACATGTTGAAACAACCCTGGCACTTGACATCCTGCAAAAGCCCATTAATTAAACCAAATTATACAAAACTTCCGTAAGATTTAGGGTTTAGGAAAAACTATAACAATAACAATTGTTGAAGCTAAACTAAGTATACCATGAAGAAAGAGTTTGGAGATTGAACAAGTCGTTTCAGCTTATGCTTCCTCTTCTCCAACTCTGCTGGGGGGTTAAGCAGATCAACATCGTTTGGCAAAACCTGTAAATTTTCAATACATCCAATCTATCATATCATTCCACTAACACTAACACGTGAATACAAATAACCGACTATACATTTTGCATCCAACTAACAAATAAAATGATTTAAGCATCAGACAAGGATCGTACCATCTTGTTTCGAGATTTATATATCGATCAAGACGTTTTGGCTATCAGAGAGCTGCGAACCAAAAACCTAAACGATTGCGCAAGGAGGCGCAGTATGAATGTATAATATATACCTGTTTGATTTCAGCCCTTAGGGCAATTTCCCAATCATGGACTGGACTGAGATTTAAAAACATTCAAACCCAAACCGGCCCACTAATAGTTTTAGATATTTAATTGCGGTTGTTTTTTTTTTTTTTTTTTGGATTGTGACCATATCTATAGACTTTTACAGTAAAAGAGGTTGATCAAATGTCTGCAGTCTGAAAAAAAAAAGATTGTTTGTTTTTTTAACATCTGCGGGCTATTAAAATAAACTGAAATCTAAATAAACTGTTTTTTTTTAACTTCAAAGTGATTTTTTTAAATATTTTTATGACTTTATTATAAATAATTAACAAATCTAGATCAACTTTTATGTATTATTATATAAAAACTAAAAATAAAAATGGTATTAATTCACATATATATTTGATAAAAACCAACAACTTTGATTGCAAGGTTATAATTAAACATTATAATTCTTGATCAAAGAATTTGATATATAAATGAATGTAAATAAACTTTGATTTTTTCAAATAAAATCTATTAAAAACGTACCATAAATATTTTTCTCGAGAAATTGATGATACTGTATTAAATAATGTTTTACAAAATTTGGTAAAAAATATAAGAATATATTATGATTTTTTTTTCATATTTATATAAACAACTTCAACAACTATTATTGTAATAATTTTTTGTTTATAAATTTGTCAAAAATATCATGTTTGTATCATCAAACATTTTTTTTAAAAGTTTTGTAATTTTTTTTTCAAATTGTTTATCATTAATAAATCTGGAAAAAATATAAATTAAAAAAAAAAAAAAAACTTTAAAAAAATAAAGATATATATGTTTTTTTAGGCTAGAAGATGTCTGGAGATGTTAAAAGACTCTGGTCCACATCTGCGCCAATAATAGGGCGCGCAAACATTTTTAGGTCTGTAGTCTTCAAAAAAACAAACAGTCTGTGAATGCTAATGTTTGTGCGTGGTATGCGCGGCGCAGACAGAAGAGATCACACAGATCTGCTGACAAAAAACAAACACTACCTT